TAATTTAGGAATTATTGTCACAAATGCTTTCAACATTTTTTAAACTTGTGTTGATAGCGAATGGGATTAGCATTTTGTAAGCTATGGCATTATGGAAGCAGTTAATAAATAAATGATAATAAATAATTTTTTATACGAAAATAATTTTTTTTTATTCTTTTGGGTAATGTAAGGAATTAGTAATGTAAACGTAAATAATGAATTCAACAATTTTTTTTAATTGTATTGCTAGAGAAAGATATGAGTAATTTATAAGCATTGACACTTTAGAAGTAGTTTCAGTGAAATGATTTTCATACGGATCCAAATTTTGTTGTTGTTCTACGTAATATAGGAATTATCGTAAATGTAATCAATAAATCGAATATTTTTATTGTGGTGATATGAGTAATTTATGAGCATTCACAATTTAAAAATGGTTTCAGTGATATGATTTTCGTACGGATGCTAATTTTTTATTGTTTTAAGTTAAATGGGAAATATTATCGTAAATGTAATGAATGAATTCAATATTTTTTTTTTTTTTTGTGTTGATGAAAATGATAGAATGAAGAGAGTAATTTACAAGCACTGGCAATCTGGAAATGGTTTCAGTAATACGATTTTCATACGCATCTAAATTTTTTATTGTTTTATGTTATGCAGGAAATTTCATCGCAAATGTAATCAACGAATTAAATTTTTTATTGCGTTGATAGCGAATGATATCAACAATTTATAAGCACTGACAATTTAGAAATGGTTTCAGTGATGTGATTTTCGTATGGATAAAATTTTTTGATTGTTTTATATTATATAGAAATTGTTATCGTAAATATAATCAATGAATTCAATATTTTTTATCGTGTTGATAGTGAACGACTAATTTACAATCTGACAATCTAACAGCGGTTTTAACGAAATATTTTTTATACACTGTAAAATAATCCCGTTTCAGAACATATGGGGCAGTTATGGTACATGGAATTTTTAAAAAAGTTTCTGAATATTTCAGAAAACTCTGAAACTGAATCCGCGTTAATGCGATACAGTTTCGTACTTTTGAAAATAAAATAAATGTTTCTCAATCGATCGGAAACAAATTAATAAAGATCTCAGAGACTATTGGAAAAATTTTGATGATTCAAAATTAGTTTTTGAAATTTTTGTACCGTTCACGGATAAAAATTATTTCTTACTTAATGTTATTGAACAGAAAAACATGCTATTGAACAACAATAACATGTTATTGAACAATAATAACATAAAAATTAATAAATTTTAAAGACTTTCCTTTCAATTTAAGGAGCTTGCAACTTGAAAAGTATGCCGACTGCTTATTTCTTCATCAGAACAAAAATCGACTAACAATTGGGGAAAAAAATCGGCTTTATAACTATGATGTTATTTCACATTTAACATATATAACATATATATATATCTATTTATACAATTATTATTTGACTAACAAATGTTCATGTATTTTAGGACAAGGAATATTGTTTATTTTATTGAAACAAAAATTTCACTTCAGGTATATAATGAATAAGGATTGTTTTATGGAAATAAATGATAATCATTGTTTTTCCGAAAACTGTGGATAATTCTGATACCTCTTATTGATTCTATCCCTTCTTTAAATACTATAACAATGGAAATTTTCTAAATGAAAGCAACCAAAAATGTTTTATAACGTGCTCTAATTTGTTGCAGTAATTTTTATTTTAGAAGAATTCTTTTATTGTGTTATCAAAAATAGTTGCCATACATTCATCTAAGTTATTAACTTTACAACTATTTAAAATAAAACAATATGTAGTTAGAATACATGAAAACATACATAGACATGAGATAAAGTTTATATGAAGCTAATTACTTTTAGGATATAAATACCAAAGCGTAAAAAAAGAAAACCTTTTCTTTTATATTTTTAAAAAAGAGATTGTATTTTTCCTTGTGCATACAATTGTACATAAAATTATATTTTAGTCAATAATTTAAGTTCAAGAACCAATGTAACTACAAACATTAAAGAATATATTTCTAAACTTAAGAATCAATATAATCTTCTTTTTAAATATCACTTGAAAATTACTAAAGTAAATAGCAAATTAAATTTTGATAAAAGAATGCAAATTTTTTCATAAATCATCAAAGAACACAAATGCTGATTAAATAAGGACTATAAAACAAATTTTTAAAATTTCTGTCCAAAGCTTAAAAAGCTATATGAACTTGATTTCATTCTTTAACATAATATATATAGCTATTTGCGTTTAAATTCAAGAAAAGCGAATTTGAATAATAAGATGCGTTCAATACACTGTGAAAGCTGATGAAATAGTAACTTCACAATTGGCCAACTGGGGCTTGCTTAGTGGTGCGTGTAGAGTAATACTAAGCTCTCCCCTCTCGCATACAATTTGTTACCCATAAAAAATGTTTCAAGAGCAGGGTATGACCTTGAGAAGTTTCCGCCTACTGCACCGCCCTTACTCGATTAAGGTGGTTAAGGATTCTACAAAGGTTAAATTCCGTTCTCACTGAACATGCTTTTAACTGATATACAGTTCAATATTTATTTACAGTGGAAAAATAAGTAAGAAATGCGAAGGAAGATATTTTGTTGGATTTTTTTAAATATCAAATACCAGGTATGTTTAGTTTTGTTTTTTCCCAAATGTCAGAAAATAACCGAATATAATCTGATGTAAATATAATATCTGGAGAGAACAAAATGTTAATGATTACATTCTTCTGTTAATTTCTATCATATTTTATTGCAAGGAGTATTATGCCTTTCAAAAATCAATTAAATGAAACTTAAAATGTCATGAAGATACAAATGTCATGAAGTGAATTAATTGAGTTTACCACACTTAACGTTTAATATTTCATGAGCAATTGAGCTAACATTTTGCAAGTATGCTTTAAACACCAGATATGGTAAAAGAGAAAACCACCGAATATATTTGAGGATATTGATATAAATATAAAATTTAGTGCGAATATAACACCTATTTACGGTTACATTTCTCTTTATTTTGTTAGTTCATATCATATTTTATTGTATTGCGTATTTATGCATACCCAAAAAAACAATAAGTTAAACTGTCAGAACGTTATTAATTTAGTTTAATTGAGCCAGCAAGAAAACATTTATTTGCTTATTTAATTCATACTTAATAGTTCTACACTTATTGTTATGAGTGAAACTAGTAAAATCATACTATCGTTCAGCCTTGTTGCAACCTTAATATGATGTTAAACTAAAAAACAATTGCGCATTTTTTTAATTTAATGTTCAACTTGAATCAAAAAATTGCTCACTGCAACACCTTAATTTGGTGGAAACACATGTTGTGGTTGAACAATTTTTCTGAGAGGGCAACAAAATGAAATCTGAAGGAAGTAGTTATTTTTAGTTTAATGAAGCATAAATATACCATTTTCGTAGTTTTCGCCGATTTAAATTCTTTATATTAATGAAAGTTGAGGTTTTAATTATCTTTAATTCTATATAAACAAAACATATCTTTAATTTTTAAAAAGAGTCAGATATTTGAATTTTGAAATTTTAACGAACTTTAATTTTTGTGGTTTTGCTTTCATTATATCGAGATCTATTTTCTTTTTTCTTAACAAAACTATTTATTTACTATTCTTATATATTATTTTTAAAATTATTTTTATTTATTATTTATATTTAATATTCTCATTTATTTATTTTTTCCAATTTAATTTGTAATAATATTATTTTTTTCCTATCCAAAAAATATGTTTAGTATCTGACAAAACTACGTCCACTAAAAGTATTTGTTCATATTTTTCACTCCAAACAAACTAATTAATTTATTAACATTTATATATTGAACGACAGCCATCCAAATTCCATATTAAATTCAAAATTTTTAATGATAAAAAGTTAAAATTTTATATTGAAAGTTTGGCCTAGAGGTTTAAGCAAAAATAAGTACAGTAAAATTATTATATTCTGTCGTTGAAAATTCAAAATAGCTTATATTCTAAAAAATAATAAATCGTTGCACTTAACCATTACAATCATAAAGTTACAATATGAAACATTTTAATACTATCGAAGACTTTCTAACAATAAACTTATTTAAATTTTTCATATCTGAAGTATTAGTAAAACACATTAGAATAAGCAGTAATTTTAATCTTGTAAAAATGACATTATTTTACTGACATTATTGAATGACACTATTCCTTCCCTATATATTTAAAGCATTTCGTTACAGTCCTGCATACAATTTTCAATAACCTTTATTAATTTAAAGTAATACTCATCAACAATATTTAGAGCATCGTATTTTTCTGTTAGTTATTGGTTTTTGCGAAAAAATTATTCATTATTCTGAAAAATATAGATAAATATTTATTGGAAGCATTTTTAGTTTAGTTTCTTCACACTTATTTAGTTATTCTCTTATTTGCATTAAAACAATGATACAACTAAAAATATGAGTTAGCAATGAGAAATATATCATACAACAATAATTTCAGTACTTATTTTTGTCAATCAGTACTTATTTTCAGTATTTAGTAGATTTTAGTTCAGTACTTATTTCTTCGATATAAAGTAATATTTATTGATCAGTGATTATGAATTAAAAATTTCGCTAAATTTCATAAATGCTATATCTGACTTCCTTTTCACTGTGGTGACAAAATTTAACTTTTTTTATTTGAATTTTCTTTGATAAATTTAATTTAAAGCTATTTTCCTCATCACGATATAAAAACTCATACATAATTGTACGAAGAATAATAATTATGATTCGCAATTTTTAAAAATTTTGTATGAAAAATGCAGCTTTCTTGATTAACCAATGGGAAAAAGTCTTTCGGAAAAAAAACCCGCAAATAATGACAACTTCGTAAATTATAAGACTAAATCATTCATATAATTAAGAATACCATTCATACAGCTTGTTATTGAAATTTGAATAATTTTCATATTCTATTGACACTTTTTTATAACATTTCAATCTACTTACAAAACTATCTTAAATTCATGATCCTTAGATTGGTAAACTTCATTTAAGGAATGAGCAATTTCAAGATGACATTCATTTACCATCTGAAACAAAAAAATAAAGATTTTAGTCACAAAAGTATTTAGAGCAAGGAAAAAAAGTAAATTGTGATAAATTTAATTTTTATCTGATATATCGGTGCATCTAACGTACTTTATTCAGTGCGATGAATATCCATAAATATTTTAATGAACATTTTATAAAAAAATAAAAAAAATAGAACCATGAATCATTTGCGTCCCATACACTTTAAATTATTATAGTATTTTTTCCTGAATGAAATTGAAAAATATACTCAAATGAATTTTTTCTCATGGTGCATTATGTTACCACTTCAGAGTTCTCAAAATTCGCTTTGGCAATATAGGATTTTGTTGGCAATAAAAGCATTTATTTTTGTAATATATTATTTTTGATACGAACCTCTTATTTTTCTATTACAAATACTAAGAATTATATGACTGAATTACCTGTTTTTATCCAGGGTTCGTACACACCTGTAAAAAATTTATAATTGGTATTAATTTTGTTATAAAGAAGTTAAATTTTTTTAATATCAGCTTCCACTATCAAATTAAAATGTCACATCTGCCATTTTCTGAACTATATAGTATATACAGTTAGAGAAAATAAAATATTCTGGTAGCTACAAACATAATAATATATTTAAAAAAATATATAAATACTACTACCACTCTTAAATTTTTTCAGGTGTGTATAAACCCTATTATTATTATTTTCTTTTAAGTACATGTTTCCTAAATTTGATGGTTTGACACTCAATGAGTTCAAAATATAGAAAATAAAACGTTTAGGACGTCAATAAATAAAGTTTATCAATAATGATGATGTAATTTTAGCATGAAAAGGATTTGTTAATGAACCAAATAGAAAAAAGTAAAATATCTAATTGTGGCATTTTAATTCCCTTTTTACAATTTCTTAGTATCATTACTCCGAATTATCATTTTGAAAATTTGGGACATTAGAACATTATATCATCATTTCACTTTTACGAACTGTACTAGTATTAACGTATTTTCTGTGAATGATGTCAGTTACTTAGTGGATATTATGGTAAAAACCCAATACAATTTTATGTTTTATTAATTTCCGCGTCAGTCACAAAGAAGTAATAAATAAATATTTTATTGCATTAAAGTAGCAATAAAAATTCATATTACTTAAGTTTTCAATTAATTTGGGACATTTATTTCACATTTCGTAATGCTGGAAAGCTTTTGAGATGGTGGGTGTTTCAAATTTTTTATTAGGTTTAATCCTTTATGGACTACTGTTGCTAAAACTTAAAATTTTTTGTGACATAAAAAATACCTTTATGAAAGAAAGTGTGAGGACATTTATGCTTGTCGTCTCAGTTAATTAGTTTTAACAAGTTTTCAGCTAATTAGGGACATTTAGTTCACATTTTGTAATGCTGGAAAGCATATGAAATTATGGGTGTATCAAATTTCATATTGAGTTTAACCCTTTAAGGACTAATGTTGCTAAAACGCATCATTTTTGTGACGTAAAAAGAGTGAGGACATTTAGGTTTTTATTGTCATTACCGTTTAGTGCATTTGGAAAAGTACAAGGCCTTTTTTCAAAGAAGAGAATGCTAGTAGAAACAAGACATTCATTTAAAAGAAAGCCAACTTTTGTGGTAGCTAACAGAATAAATAATTTATTGTCTCTTTGCGCATCATATATCTGCCAACTCTTCAATGTGGTTGCAAAACTTATATTATCACATTTTCTTCTTCTTTAAATAAATGCGGTTTAAAATCATTTTGACTACCATTACATTTAAATAATTAAAAAAATATACATGGTAGGCTTGCTAGCTCTCTTTAAGTACTTTTAAGTGGTGGCTAAATTTTAACGAAACTTCAGCATACAATCTCAATTTAATTGGATTTTTATTAATACTAGGAAAACACTTTTTGGAAAAGCGAAAAGATGGCCGATATGATATCGATATTTATGCAATATATTTTATGTAAATTCCCAACTTATATTCAATAAATTTAATTTCATTGTTCAAACTTAGTTATATTAAAAAATGATGCATTGCATTGCTAAGTATTTAATCATAGATATTTTAAAGTAGAGTGGCTAAAGCAAGAAAAAATTAATAAGCAGTAAAGAAAGATTGAAGAAATATTATAATTATTTTTTCAATGGTGGTCACTTGGAACTATGGTCCATTGGCCACAGAAAGTGCCAGAACTGCTAACTCTCTTTTTGTTACCCAGTAGACACCTGTGGCGAAGCCACAGCGGTGGAGCAGCGTCGCCCACGTTGCACTACCACAACCCGTTTATAGGGCGGATCACATTCACACATTCCCACACAAAGGAGAAAAGACATAGAACACAGATAGATAGAAAGAAACATCCATGCCTTGCCCGGGATTCGAACCCAGAACCTTTCTGATCCAGGGACAGTTCCCTGCCCCCTACACAGGCCGGTTGGCTTGAAGAAATAAATTGATTTTACTATTTTCAGCCTGCTAAGATATATTTGAATAGTAAAGAAATAATTTTTGATTATAAAACTGGCCAGCTTAATTGCTAAAAGTATAGTAAAATTAAAATATTTGTCACTACTTTTTAAATTTTTCCTGGTAGTAGCCACCCTATAAATGCAACAAGGCAACGTAAGGCGAATCAAGAAATAAATTTTCTGCATTCCATTTCACTTTTTTATTTCAATTGAGGAAAATCAATGCTTGAAGCTTAATGTCAAAAATCTTAAAATATGGTTGTTTACTGTGATACATTTGGTTCTACAAAAAAAATTGTTAAAGGAGGACCTTATATATTTCATAGGTCAGTTACATTATCAATATTTGTAATTATAATTGCTTTATTTACTATAAAAATGTACATTCCTTAAAACATTATACGAATCTCGATTGTTTGATTTTATTCATTCTAAATTCTGAATAGATGACTTTAAAATGTCATCTATGTTTTATATGTTTTTTTCCGTATCATCATAAATATTTAACCTTGGCTTACGAAATTTAGATCAATTGTTAAATATACTAACCATAGTAATCCATACACATTGCAAGCTTAGTGCCATATTTTCCGGCATTGGGTATTCAAAAATACTTGTTCTCGTTTGCTACCCCCCTCTCTCTCTTTATACATATATATATATATATATATATATGTATGTATGTATGTATGTATGTATGNTTTTTGATATATGTGCATCACCTGAAAATTTAAATATATATATATATATATATATATATACAATATGCATAGATAGATATTCACAAAACGCAATAAAAATAAAATTAGGATGAAGTTACTGAAATAACTGAAGAGAAATTTTTTTAAACTATCATATATTTCAAACATTTTCTTTATTCAAACATTGATTCAAGCAAGTTAGACAGCCTTTTCATACATTATACTAAATGCATTTCAACATATACATTGATAGTACTGTTAACTATTTTAGATTAAATATTACTCAAGAGGACACTAATAAAGAATGACTCATATCATTTGTTAGAGGTACATCATGTACTTTCTCCATTCAGTTGTCCATTATTCTCATTATGAGAGAGATTTCAATGGGATTGAGATACTATTTTGATTTCTTTATTACTCTCTGTGCATGCTTAATCTAGACTCTTAAGTGTATTTTCAAAAGTAGCAATGAAGAAATTGCATAAATATATCTTTCAGGCATCCATTGAAATGCATAGTGCCTTGTTTTGCATAATGGCGTACTATGATTGTCCAAACCAGACCGCTTGGTTGTAATGCCATTCTCCTCAAAATTGGAAATAGCAATAGGAGGAGGAAAAATGTCCTTCTAGATCCAGATGTTGTCATAAAACGCATAAATTACCAAAAGAGCGATTAATTCTTCGTAGCCAGTGACAACGAAAAATGTAACGGCCCGATTTAACAATGAATATTCATTTAGAAACCTACGACTTTGAAGATTTCTTTTCTTAGGTTCCATTTTATTTATCCTTTTTCCGAACCAAATCGATTGGGGACTTTCTTCCCTTACTTCCTTTTAGTGCGAAACTTTATCACCAGACGGCGTTATTTATGTTCTTTAAATGGTCAGCATTGAGAAGACATCCCCTCTGCTTTATGGATCGATTTAATTGCCAGCGTTGCTTTAACTAGTCAAAATGGGTGGTTTCTGTTAGAGAAACCATGCATAATAATGAATAAGTTGAAAGGAAACAATGTAGTTATCGTGTACAGAAGAGTTATTTCTGATTCGGTCTGATTAAGAAATTTGCAAAGGGAAAAAGAACGTTGCACTGTTATTGCTAAAGGCCTTGTTTTAAGGGGAAAAAATAGGAGCAAACATAATACAGAATTCATTTAAGTACAAGTTGATTAAAAAAAAAGTTATTTTAATTTATTTTGAAAATAAATTTTGAATAGATTTTTTGATGAGCACATTTTTTTCCTTTTAATTAACGTGTTCAGTCTTTTTAATTCTTTTGGCTAAAATTACGGCGTACTTTTTTCGTATAAATTAAGTATATCCATTTAACGTATATATTTTTAAATTTAATCATAAGTACAGTCCTGAATCACTCTACCTCCCCCCCCCCGAAAAAAAAAGTTGTTACAAAATTATTTAATTATTAGAAGTTTTTTAGATCAAACATCATAACATTAAATAAATAAGTAACACTTTTATATATATATTTTATTTTGTGCTTGAATTTATTATTATTTTTAGTTTGATTGTTAGTACAATGAAATAAGAAAACCATTCATTAATTAAATCTAAAAACTCAAAATGTTTGTATGAAAAACAATTTACAAATATACGAATATAAAACTATTTTACAAGGCTTTTACATTTATGAACTATACTCAAAAATTTGAGTATTTTTGTAAGTGAAAATGCAAAAAGAAAATTTTAAAAAACACTATGTATCTTCAGTTAACACATATTTTTTTATTATTTTTTTATTTTTTTAATTTTTTTTTCTGCGTGAGATTTTATAATGGATCTTGGATATTTTCACATCGCTGATTTAAAATCTGC